TATCATTTATTCATATTTAAATAATCTAATAATATTACTTATTATATAATTTATTTTTAAATACATAATGTTTTAAATATAATAATATAATTTTTTTTAAAAAAAAAATATAATTTAATTTTAAATATAAAATAAATAATTTGAATATATAAATAATATAATATAAAATATAAATAAATTATAGAAATAAACAAATTCTTACTTCAGAATAGGTATATCTAACTGATGCTGATTATGTATTTCTTTTTAAAAAAATTAACAAATATAATAATAAAATAATATATATTTATTAAATAAATAATAATATTCTTGTAATAAGCAAGGTGTATTCTGATTAGAGATAAAACGGTTTAGTTTAGTTTAGTTTCAGTTTTATGAAATAAGTTTTAACAGTAAAACTGAATTAAACTGGATTTTAAAACTAGTTCAAAATAATAAATCTAAACCAGTTTTAACTAATCAGTTCAAATACAAATTAGCCTAAATAGAAATAGGCAATTGAATTTATTATATACTAACTAATAAAAAACAAATATATTGTGTTTTTTTTATTATTCTTTTTATTGTAATTTGGAAAAACCAATTAAAATTTCGTTCCCTTCACAGACAAAATGCTTGGGCATATGACTTGTAGAGAATAGTTTTAATAAACTAGCATAGGTAAAGGGTAAGTTTCTTTATTGCTTCTAATTTCAATTTTTTATTGTTCTGACCAACTTTTCAATTCAAGAATGAGCACAGTTTGAATGCTTTATATGATTACAATTAACTCTGTTCTCAACATTACACATATGATTTTACTATAGAAATTCAATCCAAGGTGGTTACATTTTTACATAAACAACAAACCTAATACTTTAATAAAGTTGTTCATTTCATTGGAAATAATGACTTTTTTAAATAAGATCCAGTTACATCCAAGTTTTATTAGGAAAACTTGAACAATACCTACATATTACGCAACTTTAGTACGATTTGTTTGTAACCTTTAAAGACAATAAAGCTTAATAAACTTTGGACTTTTCATAGTAAAAAGTCTTCAGAATTCACGTGAGCAAGGTTAAAGAACAAAATGGATGGTATGTCAATTATTTGATTTTAGCCAATCAGAATCCTTGTCGATCAACCAATGAAATTAAACCTAATCAATGAATGGATTTCGTCCAAGTTAATATATCAAATGAAAAACGGTAAAATTATTTGTGAGAAAAATCAGGAGAACGTTTAATTTAATGTAACTAGTTATCATAATTCTCGACAAATTTTATCATAATTTAAGAAGAATAAATAATTTATTTATTTTCGTCTTGGAAACAAATTTCAAAAGAAAACTACAAAGGAATATTATTCTTCTTGCAATAGTCAATGGCTTGTTTATGTTGTTTATAAGCGGCTAATTTCATATATTTTGTACCTAATTCTGCATCTTTCTTACCAGCACCACCAGAGAAATATAAACTAGCAGCATTAAACATACCAACAACTTGACCATTTTCAGCGGCTTTGGTAAAATATAAAGCAGCTTCTTTTAAATCCCTTTGAACTCCTACACCTTTAAATATCAAACCTCCATAACGTAATTGAGCTTCAGGAAATTCATCGCCTGCATCCGCTGCTACTTTATATAATTCTGCTACTAATTTATCTTTTTCTGCCTGGTCCAAATTAAGGTTAACTAATTTTTGTTGAATATAGTATCCTTTCATATATTTTGCTTTAATATC